AGGGAAGGTCACTGGCGCGTAAATCACGAAGTGAAGTTATATGGTTGTTGTTGTTTATAACCACTTTTTTTTTTTTTTTTTTGTAAATTAAAGGAGGTAGGGAACTATGAAAAATAGGGAGCGGACTGAAGAGTAGCTCTATTGTATTCCATTTACTCTCTTGTCTCCTCCCTCCCTCCCTCCCTCCCTCCCTCCCTCCCTCCCTCCCTCCCTCCCTCCCTCCCTTCCTTCCTTCCTTCCTTCCTTCCTTCCTTCCTTCCTTCCTTCCTTCTAAAAAAATAGCTAAAAACACTCTATAAAGCTTTCTTTTTATTAGTAACATTATTCTGTCATGACTCTCAGGTTCAGTTTTCATCTGATTTCCCTTCAGACTTAAAAAAACGAGGCTACTTCGGGCAGCCCCACACTGAATTCCAGCTCACGTCCACAGTGACTAGAGGAACGCAACTTAAAAAAATTGAACAGAACCCTATACACAGCTACAGAGAGAGAGAGAGAGTGTGAACAAAAGAGATACGGTAAACACCAGCCATTCTCCATCAGCCAAGGAAATTTTACTAGAAACTCCAACCTCCGTCACTGTCTGCAGCCCCTTCCCTCCCAGTAGGAGCCAGTGTTGGAGGAGGAGACACCTGCAGAGTGGAGCCAGACAGGCGGCGGACTGGGGGCTCTCAGGTGAGGGAAAGAGGTCCTGTTGGTGTGGGTCACACTAAAGTGACACAGGCCTGCTTCAGATACAGTCTCAGCTCTCGAGCAGGAAAGCCCATACAAGTAGGCTTATGAGCAAAGCCCTGGAAGACTCTGCCTTGTGATAAGGGGTAGAGGGGCCACTGCACCAGAACTCTGCCTCTGACCCCCAGGTTCCCAGCAGCTTGTCTCCAGGGGAAGCTGGAGAATGACATCGGCATTCACCGTGTGTAACTTACCCTGATGGCTGGCAGTGGCCCTGGGGGACTTTCTACACATCTGGGGACTAAATGGAATATCAAACTGTCAATGTAAGAACGTCCAAACCTATAGAAAACTTTATAAGCGTTTATATGAACCAAACTGAGGACATGCCTGGAGGCACCATCTCCGTGATCTGAGCACATGCTGCAGAGGATGGCAGTTTTGTGGTTATACGTTTGGAATTAGATGAGGGAATGTAAGGGAGATTACATGAAATCCAATGGTGGTAGATTAAGGAGGTGGGAGAAAGCAAGGGGGATGGATTTCCATGATTAGATTGCAGGATGGTTAACATCTAACATTTGCAATAATTGGGAATGTTATATGGGTAGCAAGATAATGTGTTCCTTTGGGTGGTTACACCTCCAAGAGCTCTGGCATTTCAAAGGTGTGTTAACCCAGATGCACAAGATGGAAAGGGCTTGCTTACGGCAAAGATAAACCCTCTACTATGGAAGTTATAGGCCTGGGCATCACTACCCACCACGACCCACCCAGTTTGGAATGTATAATCCGATCACACCACGAGGCTACCTCCTGGCTTAGGACGTCTTGTATACCTTGATCCCTCTTTCTATCTTTGAACTTCTTGGGCATGTGTGGTCTCTGACTCTCATGTATGTGGGGTTCTCATACATCCGTATGTATTAAATTTGGCTATTTTCTCTTGTTGATCTGTCTTATGCCTATTGGATTTCCAGACCAGCCAGGAGGACCTTGAGGATAGAGGAAAGCTTGCTCCCCGCCCCCACATCATCTTTTTAAAAAGTAAAATAAAATCGTGCTCTTTCCACAGCTGAAAAGTACACGGCAGCTCTTGATCTTACTTCATAAATGAAAGTAAATAAATAAAACCCAGGGATCAGCAAACTTCTTCTGTAATGGGCCACATGGTAGGTATTTGAGGCTGTGCCTGGCCTGCGCTGTTGTACTGTAATGATGGATAGGCTGTGCTAGAAGCAAGCGAAAGAAGGCTCTCAGGCCTGTGCAAGTGTGAAAGAAGCCACAAACGATATGCAAAGAATGGGCGTGGCCATGTCCCAGTGAAACGAATTCTTTTTTTCTTTTTTTTATCCTCACCCGAGGACATTTTCCCATTTTTTTGTTCAGGTAGAGTGGGAGAGAGAGAGAGGAACAGAGAGAGAGAGAGAAACATCGATGTGAAAGGAACACATTGAGTGGCTGCCACCCGCACGACCGACCAGGGCCGGGGACAAACTGCAACCGAGGTACGCGCCCTTAGCGGGAACCGAACCCAGGTCTCTCAGGACCGCAGGCCAACGCTCTAACCGCTGCGCCAAACCGTCCAGGGCAAAAGTGTCTAATTCTTACCTCAGAGTCTTTGCCTTTGCTCTTGCCTCTTCCTGGAATGTTCTTTCTTTCATCAGACTTTTTCATAGATGGCTCCAAGTATTAGATAACTCAGTAGACAGATGAAATGTATATTTGGAGAACCATCAGAGAAGGAGCCCTGAAAGTGAGAAAACATTTTGAAACAAATTTGATTTTAGATATTTGCCCCAAACTATTCAAGTAGTTGTCATGGGCGGGAGGTGTGGGTGCAGGTATCAGAACTTTGTTGGCGTTCTTTGCACTTTGTTTAAGCCTTGGTTGGCTTTTTCTATTTTGAATCAACTGGGGGTGGGTGGGAAGGAGGGAGTACATGACAATCTTATCCTGTTTAAGGCCTTTAAAGTCTCAATGTGGCCCCTGTGGCTTCTTTTTAGTAACTGTGGCCTCCAGTCAAGGGTTGTCTTCTCCGGCAAGGTTTCTCCAACCAGTGACCTGATGGTGTCCCTCCACCACTCACCACATGCACGGTTGTATTTTCTCACAGTACTTAATCACTACCTGAAATCATTGTGCTTATTTATGTGCACCTAGTACAGTGCCTGGCACATGGAAAGCATGTAAGAAAACATTTGCTGACTGACTGACTCAATGAATGGATGCTTAACTGAAGGGTATAAGAACTCAAGAGCTGAAAGTGTTTCGAGAATTAGATCCAATCCTAGGTGAGATTCTCCGCTTGTCCCACATGTAACCTTAAAAGTGCCTCAGAACCCAGCTTGGATACCTGAGTCAGCCTTAGCTAGGGCAGTTCAATCAATTTAGGCCAAAGCAAATTTGTCAACAGAAGAATTGGGGCCAAACCAGATTTGGGAGAACATTTTGCTACTGTGTCATGGGAAGATTTTCCAACTCTACATCTTTGATCAAGTTGGTCTGTTTTTCTAAAATGTTTATTTTTCTTTCTTTCTACTTTTTAGATTTCCATTAACTTTTGGCTTGTTCTCTAGGGAAACATAATTTAAACATCTAACAGTCATCTAAGAATTTATCAGAATAAATCTGATTTCCTTGATTTTTGTGTATAGTGAATATCTGATTTGTGGCAGGCACTGTGCTGGGCACTGGAAGTACTATGGACATGTCCCTATCCTCAGACTTCTGGGAGAAACAGACATAAAACAAACTCATTTAAACAAGCCAAAAGAAGCCAAGGTTTGATAGGTACTGTGAAGGAAATAAACAAGGATCCGAGAAGGGCAATGCCTACTTTTGGCAGGGCGGTAAGGAGGGCTTTTTTTTTTTGAAGAAATAACATGTAGGAAATGATGAGAAGAAGCTACTTTATAAAGGGCAGGGAAAAGTGTGTTCTAAGGTGAAGATGCCACATACAATGTCACTGAGGTAGGAGAGAGCTTGGTCTGTCTCAAGAACTAAAAGAAGCCCTGGCTGGTTTGACTCAGCGGTTAGAGCGTTGGCCTGTGGTCCAGAGAGACCCGGGTTCAGTTCCCACTAAGGGCGCGTGCCTCGGTTGCCGTTTGTCCTCAGCCCTGGTTGGGTCATGTGGGTGGCAGCCACTCGATGTGTACTTTTCATGTCGATGTTTCTCTCTTTCTCTCTCTCTCTCTTCCTCCCACTCTATCTGAACAACAACAACAACAACAAAAAACTGAAAGAAAAAGATGGGACAGGGTCACAGTGAGTAAAGAAGACGAGGCACAATAATGAGCTGGTCCTGGGGCCTCGGGGGCCCTGGGAACGAGTTTGGGCTTTAACTGCAGAGTTTCACGAAGGAGGGAGATCCATATGATGTTGTCCCAGGATGACTGCTCTGGCTTCTGCGTAGGGAATGGACTGATGTGGGCAAGTCCAAAAGCAGGGAGACCTGCGCAAGGGCTGTTGCAGTGACCCACGTGGGAGCTGATGGCAGCCAGGGCCATGGTGGTGGTACAGACTGGGAGAAGAGAAAGGTTAGACTCACAGAATTGAGAGGAGCTGTCAGTGAATTCGATGTAGGAACTGACAATCCGTAGGCATGTCAGTTAGTGTCCAGTTGGGAAAACAGAAACCATTCGATTTCAAACAGAGGACATTTATCCTCAGGAAATCAGGTTATCTGCTAGAACATTTTTGACTATTAGTAGTTACAAAACTGTTGGAAAGGTTGGAGAAACAGAAAGGAGAAGGTGTGGTAGCCTAGAGGGGAACCGCGACAGGAAGGAAAGACCACTCCCAAGGCTGGAGGGGAAGATAGCCCTGGCGATGTTATCGGAGCCCAGGAGTGTCTGGCATCTGACACGGTGTGGAGCTGCCGATGCTGCTGGAACTGGCCATGCCCCAGCCGCTGATGCTGTTGCTGGAACTGCTAAGGCTCCTGGAGCCCACAGCGGCTGTTCGCAGCCACGGCCACTGCCAGAAGCTTTAAAAAAAAGGAGTCTCTCCCTCGCTTCATCCAGTTTCCCATCAATGCTTCCCACTGGCAGCATCTAACTGGGCCAGCTGGCAAAGGAGTCTGGGAAATGCAAGTCACAGCACCGCAGCCACCTCCAAGAGCGCACACAATGGCGGGAATGGTGCTCAGTGCCAACAAGCCAACGGATCCCATATTCCTGAAAAACACACATTTCTTTTTTTTCTGCAAAGGCACTGTGTGCCTATTGGAGAACAATTCGAAAATACATACCAACAGAACATTAAAAACTGCCATATTCCCACTTACCCAGAAATAATCATTGGGGTCTCCCTCTTTCAAAAAGGGACTCTTCCTCTATGCTCGGTTTTGTAACGCACGGCATGAAATTTTTGCAATAAAATATTTTCCGGACATTTACTTTGTTCCAACTAGTTCCCGGTGTTGGGTATTTATGTTCCGCCAACATTTTCCTATTATACATGTGAAAAGAGGAATTATTGCTTGAGAACAAATGTACAATTTAAGGAAACGGTTTATAAAGAATACAGTTGTAACCTGCAGTTTGACTCTTATGAGATTATTGGCTCAGGTAGAAAGAGAAAACGAACTATTTTAAACCTAAGGTCAAACGACAGGACTTTCCCTACCCTGTGCATTTCCTTTGCTGGGGAGCAGAAATCACGGTCGTTTCTGAGCTGGGAGTGTACGTTCGGCCCGGAGCCGGGAGCAGTGTCGGCCACGGACTGCCCCAGGACCGTCCTGCTGCCCCTCTGTCCGTCTCATGGATCAGACTTCTGGTGAGAAAGCTGGTTCTTCGGAGTGTGCAGACAGGGTGACACCGAGACAAAGTGTCTTGTAGAGTAGACCTGCTATTATGGCCACTTGGTGACCATTTCTCGGGTGTTACCTGTTAGAATGGTTTTGAGGATTAGTGGCTGAAAACCGTGACTTTAGTCAGCTTTAAACGTGAAAAAGTGTACTCTCTCACAGAACTGCAAGTCCAGCGGTAGGCCAGGCTCCCAGAATAGTGAGATAAGCCACTCAGTGATGTCACCAAGGTCCCAAGTCCTTTCAACACTCCGTCCCGCCTTTCTGGGCGTTGGCTTCACCCCGAGGCTGGCTCCCTTCGAGGTGACCAGATGGCTGCCAGAGGCCCCAGAGCTGCCTGTTTCCTTTTTCCATGTTCGGCAGGAAAGGAATATAGAGAGACCTCTCCCTTTGATATCAATTCTTTCCAGAAAGTTCAAGCAAACTAGTGGTTTCAATGCCATTCATTGTACATTAAAATCACTAGGAGTGCTTTTTCAATTATTCATTTATTGCTATTATTTTATTTTTATTTTGTTTATTTGTTTATTTATTTGCTATTTTATTTTTAACTGTCAGTAGCTAGGCCTTATCTTTAAATTTTATGTTTAATTAGTTTGAGAGAGAGAGGAAGGGAGAGACAGAGAAACCTCGACATGAGAGAGATCAGTTGCCTTCTGTACACGCCCCGACCAGAGATCGAACCAAAACTTGGGTATGTGCCCTGACCCAGAATCAAACCTACCGTCTCTTGGTGTATGAGACGATGCTCCAACCAACTGAGTCACACCAGCCAGGGCACCTAGGTCTTATCTTTAAAAATTAATTTATTAGTCTGGGGTGGGGCCCAGCTGGAGGTAGTTTTTAGAAGCTCCCAAGTGATTCTAATGTACAGTCAGGGCAGAGAACCATTGGATTAGGCTGGTTTAAGTGACCTGCCCATTGCTAGACTGACAGTCACCAGGACAACACCAACTGGCTTAAAATGGATCTCAGAATACGCTCTCCCTTTCCTCACCAGCAGAAGCAGCTCCTGGGAACCCGTCAGAAATGCCAAGTATCAGGCACCACCCAGATCTACTGATTCAGAAACTGTGGGTGTAAGGTCAGCAATTCATGTTTTAATAAACGTACCAGGTGAGCCCTGGCCGGTTTGGCTCCGTGGTTAGAGCGTCGGCCCGCAGACCAGAGAGTTCCAGGTTCGGTTCCCGCTAAGGGCACGTACCTCGGTTGCAGTTTGTCCCTGGCCCTGGTTGGGTCGTGTAAGTGGCAGCCGGTTGATGTATCTCTCTCACATCATGTTTTACTCTCTCTGCCCCTCTGTCTCTCCCTCCCACTCTGTCTGAAGATAAATGCAAAAATGTCCTCGGGTGAGGATAAAATAAATAAATAAATAAATAAACTTACCAGGTGATTGTGATGGACCCACTGCCTCAGACCAATCAAGCTCCTTCTGTGGAGCTAGGGAGGAGATAAATGTGTGAACAAAGCTGAGGTTTGGTGGGACAGTGACCCCAGGGCACTGGAGTGTTAGCACTCCCTCCCCCAGCACAGGCCAGAGACAGGAAAGAGGGACTGAATCCTGGGGACTCCTGGGGACTCCTGGCTGTACAGAGACGGCCTCCCAATGTGGCCACCAAGCCTCAGCCACTGCAGTGGGCGGTTAGAAACGGAGGCAGCCGTGGTCTGTAGGTGTCCAGTTCTTCATACCTTGGGGAATCTTTAGAAATTTCTATAAGGGCTAAAGGACCGAAAAGACTTTCCCCAAAATGTTGTGAACTAATTTCAACCACAGTGCAATTTCACAAGGGTCCTGGAAAAGAAAAAGGCCCTTAGGTAAAAACAAAGGAAATCTGAATGCAATAAGGACTTTAGTTAATAATATATCAATATTCATTGAAAAACTGTGGCATTGTACAACACAGGTGTCACATATCAGGAAAAACGGGGTGTGGGGGACATGGGAACTCTGTGGAATCAACTTTCCATGTAAATCTAAAACTATTCTAAAATTAAAAAAGGTTATTTTAAATCAGATACATTAAAATGTGAAATTCTAATAAATGGAAACACCTTTGCAAAGAATTTTATAAAATTAAGCTCAAAGTTTCTTTAAAACTTTCCATATTAATATAAACTTGACGCTGCTGTACTTCTACAATGGATGCCATGTTTTGTTTGTTCATTAGTATTTTTGTTATTAATCCTCACCAGAGGAAATTTTTTCATTGATTTTTAGAGAGAGTGGAAGGGAGGGAGAGAGAGAGAGAAACATCAATGTGAGAGAGATACATGGATTGGTTGCCTCCTGCATGACCATAACCACGACCCAGACCAGGGTGGGGATCGAACCTGCAACCCAGGTACGTGCCCTTGACTGGGAATCGAACCTGAGACCCTTTGGTCTGCTGAGCCAAACTGGCCAGGATGATGTCATGGTTTTTGCCATGTTTTTAGCCAGAACAAATGCTTTTGGAAATTTTCAGTTTAAACAAGTGAATTGGAAACTATTAATGCAATCCCAGGTATGCCACATGTCCCGGAATCTGTACATGGCCAGAATTATCAAAGAGCTAAGGAGAGGGGCTTAAACTTGTCCCTGCACTTAGAAGTAATTAAGAACCTGCACAGAAAGCCACTTCCTTTCTCCTTAGACCCGAAAAGAAGGAGATTCCACAGGGAATGGGACATAGTCAGATGCATCTTACTCCGAATGCAGGCGCTGTCCTCTTGTTCCACCAGCTCCATTTAAATTAAATGCACTTCTTGTATCCTGAGGGGTGAGCCATGCAACCCAGTGACGGTGGCTCATTATCAACTACCAGTCTCATCAGACTGTGCATCCCTGGAAGGTGGGATTCCTGAAAACATGAGGCCATAATTGGGATGGAGCAGGGAGCAAATCCTGGCTTGTATTTTGAAAGGCTCTCCTCAGTGTGGTCCACTAAGTAATTAATGGTCAGCTTTGCTTATCTCCCTTTTTCACCAAGCGCCAGTAAGGAAACTGATAACTCAAGTGGTCACAGCAGGTGAGAGGGTTATAATTAAGAGTTATAAGAAAAAAGAGGAGTAAAGGGGAATTCCTGTGGTGATGACCTCCCCACGACAACAGGCCTCTTGCTAAGGACCCCCTTCATCATCTCCAGAAGAGGAGAAGAGAAAACACACGAAGAAGGACCGGGTGCACAGCCCCAGTGCCTACCTCATGGGTGTGAAATGCCCAGGACGCTGTAACATCGCCACCGTCCTTAGACTTGCAGGCTGCTCCGCTGTCCTCTGTCGGCCACAGGAGGAAAAGCCAGCCCTCCAGAGGGATGCTCCTTCAGCAGAAAGCAGTGCTAAAAGCATCCTGAATCAAGATGAGTGGGGAACCATCCCAATAAACACATTTTGGATAAAAACTCAAGTACTTAAGGGTAAAAATGTTGCCATGCCCAGCAAAGGCTCAAAATAATTCCCCACCCCCCTGATTTTGCTACATTGGACTCTCTCAGTTTTGTCCATCAGTGTTTTCCTCTCTCACTGTGTGTCCTTGGACAAGGTCCTTAGCTTCTCTCTCTGTGCCCCATTTTTGTTATCTTCACCATGGGGAATATTAATAGTACCTATTTCCTGGCCGTGTTACATGAATTAATCAAAGTATGTTTGTAACACTTTGTGCCCAGTGCCTGGAATATGGTGTTACAAAGTGTTTGTTTGATAAATTAATAAATTAGATAGCACTTGCCCACATTGAAGTCATTCAATATAACGATAAACCTCAATGCGACGATAAAACTCTTGATGATACGGCATGGCAAAAACACAAAAACGAATAATCAGGGAGGGAGCCTCGGGCATGGCAGGGTGTTGAAGGGGCAGAGGAAATAGAGGCAACTTTTATGAGAAATAAAAACAAATGCGATGCAGTACTCCCGTATTATTGGCGGAAATGTAAAATGACACAGCACTTCGGAAAACAGTTTGGCAGTTCCTCAAAAAGTTCAACACAGAATCACCATATGACCTAGCAATTCCACTCCTAGGGATATACCCAAAAGAACTGAGAGCAGGGACTCAATAACCTAAAGGTGGAAACAACGTGTGAGCGAATAAACAAGTGTGGTCTATCCATACAATGGGACATTATTCAGCCATACAAGGGAACAACGTGCTGATACCTGATACAATGTGGATGAACCTGGGAAACATCTTACTAAGTGAAAGAAGCCAGGCACCAAAGATCACCTATCCTATGATTCTATTTATGGGGAATATCCAGAATTGGTAAGTCCATAGTAACTGCAAGCAGATTGGTGGTTGTTCAGGGCTGGGGAGCTGCCGAGTAACTGCTGCGTGGACAGAGGGCTTTCTGTCTGCGTGGTAAACATGTTCTGGAAAGAGAGAGAGAGGCAGAGATTGCGCAACACTGAATGTACTAGATGCCATGGAATTGTTTGTTTTATAAAGGTTAACTTTATGTTTGTAAACCTTACATCATAAAAACACATACATAAACAGAACCAGAATGAGTGCTGTCTTTGTTCTAGTCGAGAGTACAGAGCATTCCAGGCCTCCTCGTCCACTCACGAGACACCTTATTTGAGAAAGTTACCTAACGTCCAGCCCCTCCGGGCCCTGGTTTCCTTATCTGTAAGAAAATGAAATTGGACTAGGTGATTACGAGTATCCCTTTCATTTCAAATTCCAAGGCAAAGAAATTCAACACCCTTCTCCTCTCTGTCTCATCCATATGCTTGAAAACGGCTGCATCTGTATTGCAGATGTATACTGGAAGACAATGAATGTTGTAATTAAATTACAGGGGAATTAATTTGTTTTAGTTATTAATATGAAAAGTATTTTAATATTCATTATTACAATGGCACAAATTAATGGGCAAATAACGAAAACAAATGCACTCGAGCAATTAACTTGGGGTTTGCCATGCTGATGCTTCGGCTCTGAGCCCGTGCACGGCTCCAGCCTGTCTGCCCCCTCTGAAATCACACACTGTGCTTTTCCACAGTCACAGTATCTCAAGCTCCTCAGCCAAGTGCAGTGCTGGCAGCCCCAAGTTGATTGGGAGGCCCTTGATTGATTAATCTGTGCCCTTGCCAAGCAGGGATGGTGGCAAGGGATTAAATACCGTTCTGAACTGCCCAGACTTTGCAACCAAGGTAATCTAGAATAGCCCGAGGGTATCAGTCACTAGAATGTGCTTATAGACTAGTGCTCTAATTACAACTAGATGAGTTAGGACTCTAAAATTATCAAAGTGTTATTTGAATAATAAGCCAAATTTACCCCATCCTGGGATTTGAAATCTTGGGTTGACATGTTCATTCTCGGAGGTGGGTATGTAAATTTCCGTATTTTACTCATCACCGCATGAGTACATAGGTTGTTGAGGACAAGACCTTGTGCACGTCACTCATTCATGGAGCGGCCAGGAGTCAGAGCCGTCTCAGTGACACCTAACACCCGCACCTCCACTACCTGCTACTACAGATCTTGGGTCCCCTGTAAATTCCCTCTTAATAATTTCTAGGAGTCGCAGGTGTATCTCCAAAGAACCTTCAGCTAGGAACATTTCAGCCATCTACCAAGGTTTATCTGTCACCCCCCCCCCCTTTAAATGCTGGTTTCTTCAGGGATATCTACTTTGGAGGTCTACAACAGTCCTCAAAGCTGCACAAACTGGAAGCCACAGCTTACCCAGGCCCAATCAGATACTGACTAGCTCCTAATTAATTGCTGGAGGTCCAAGGATGTGGGCTCCTGGCATCGTGGAGCTGCTGAGGGAGTTTAGACAGCTCCTTGAGGCTGGCCAGTCAAGCCTTTACCCTAGTCGTGCACCTCCTGCTGAAAGGTCATACCAACGGTGCCAACTAATCACTGTCTTGGCAGGGAACCTCTCTCAATATAACTAGCAGTTTCACCAGTTTCCCGTTGACTGCTCCTCTTGAACATTCCTCTGCTTCTTTCCATCACGTAGCAGTGGAATTCCTTTTCTATCCTACTGTTGGTCCTTGGCCCGGACTTCATTCCATTCCGCCCTTCACATCTCTCCCCTCCGATGCAGACAGGAGGGGACTACTGGAAGGAGAATAAAAGTGAAAGAGTATAGGGGTGTGTGTCCACAATAAATGATACCTGGAAAACCTGTACATTCTTCTGTCCAACTTAAATGAAGAAACTGAGTACAAACTAATGTAAAATTAAAAGTATGAAAATGGCTTTGCAGGCAACGTATGAGTTTTCCCCCACTCTCGATTTTGATCTCTGGTGTTCAATAGTAAATAAAAAAACCCCATAAAGCAGTCAGATCACCTTTGAGTAACTAAAAAAATCTAGGTGATACTGATCCCTCCCATGTAGTTGCAGCTTCCTGAGGGAAAGATGAAATGAGAACATAGTCTATCTTTTGGGAGACATACCTAAACTGGCTGTTATGTGAGCTTGTGATTAATTTTGAAGGCAGACTTTCAGAACACCATATTTTAGTAAACTTGAAAGATAAGTCGATAAAAACATCCAGCAAAGCAAAATATGGTGTTTTCAGGGTTCAATCAGATATGACCCAGCATTTCTTCATCAGGCACACCCTCCTTCGTTGAGCACAGTGGGTCTCGAACACAGTAGGAGTTAGGGAAATGTTTGTTGATTTTAGTTAAAACGGGGTTCCTCTCAGTCCCTCAGAAGATTGAACCTCCTGACCTGGGTCAGACAACAGAGGAAAAGGAAATAAGGAAAGGCATCAGGTAAGGCTAGAAAGAGACCACTGTTTAATATACATATAATTGTTCCTGGGTTTATTGTTTTGTTCAAAAGCCTGTGAGCTGAGCAACCAGAATGTGGCAGTAAACTGTGCTGTTAATTCCATACATATTTTCAGAGCTGGGAGTCAGGTTTTCAAGTTTGTTCTTGAATTTTATGCAAAACATATGCAAATCTATATAGCATTCTAAAAATCCCATCTGTTCACCACCCCTCCTCCAGTCACAAACAACGGAGGCTGGCGAGCAGTAGACCCCCAGCGCCGGTGACCGGCCCGGGGGAAGGGCTGTCCGGGAGGCGGTCCCGGGGCGGGGCCGGGGCGGGGCCGGGGCGGGGCGCGTGACGCGCGGGTTGGCCGGCTGCCGGGCTGGACCTCAGCCTTTCCCCGCCTGGGGCCGCAGCCGCACCATTGGTTGCTCCGAGTCTCCAAAAGGGGCCCTCCGATTCCTCACTGGGTCAGTCTGGTGCTGGGTCGTGGAGCTCCGCACAACTCCCGCTGGTCCTTGAACTGGATCCCTTCTTCCCAGAGTTGCGAGTAACTTTCCCGTCTCCCAGGCGCCGCGGTGGCTCGGGTACCCGGGCAGCCGCAGGTAGCAGAACCCGGGGCCACGCTACCCGCGCCTGGGCTGCGCGCGCTTAGGTCGCTCTCTCTCGGTGCACGCTGGGGGTCCCCGAGCTCGGCTCTGCGGGCGAGATGCCCCTGGGACACATCATGAGGCTGGACCTGGAGAAAATCGCCCTGGAGTACATCGTGCCCTGCCTGCACGAGGTCGGCTTCTGTTACCTGGACAACTTCTTGGGCGAGGTGGTGGGCGACTGCGTCCTAGAGCGCGTCAAGCAGCTGCACAGCAACGGAGTCCTGCGCGACGGCCAGCTGGCGGGGCCGCGCGCTGGCGTCTCCAAGCGGCACCTGAGGGGCGACCAGATCACGTGGATCGGGGGCAACGAGGAGGGCTGCGAGGCCATCAACTTTCTCCTGTCCCTCATCGATAGGCTGGTCCTGTACTGCGGGAGCCGGCTGGGCAAATACTACGTCAAGGAGAGGTCCAAGGTAGGACGCGCGCGGGCGCCCCACCGCTGCTGCAGCCCGCAGGGACCGGAGACATTCGGAGTCCGTTGTCTGTCGCCTTCGCAGGGCTAACGCGAACTTGAGTTTTTAACCAAGAAACGAGAAAGAAGTCAGTCTGGTCTTCCCACTCCTACCCCCAGGGAAAATCCATGCTAAGGGATTTAGGTGTATAACTGTAATGACCTTCTGATAACTTTGAAATAATGGCTCTAGGGGGTGGTACAAGCCGGACAAGCTGTGGCTTTTTGGTCCGATTTTAAGATATGGACGTTCTCAAAGGTCCAAACGAGGGACCGGTTGTTAGAAAAATTGTGTATGATCCGAGACACACGTGAACTCCTGATCTTGAATGTCTACTTTAAAGGCACCTAATGTTGCCCTTCATTGATTTTCAAAGGGGATTCCCAGGAACTCACTTTTAAAGAATTCTGGAGACAGTTGTGATTGTGCAATGTGGCATTTGGTTTGTGGAGTTTGGAAGGTCTGGGCAGAGTTTGCCCTGTGAAAGAGTGAAGCTCCTCTTCCCTTTTGAGTGCTGCCCTTGGCTTGCTGCACCCAGGACACTTACCTCATCTACTTGATTGTGAAAATTCTCCCCTGGTGCTGAGCCTACACCACCACCTTCCCTTTCCTAACTACCAGCTGATGTGATCAGGAGAGGGTAGTCAAGTACCTCTGGAAAGAAGTTATGTTTTCGTTCACCGCCAGAAGTGACTCCCTGGGTAGAAATTTATCTTGGAAACATTTACAGGTAGATTGGCAGAAATATGGGAACGTGTTGTACCATGGACTTTACTTTGCAGTGGTCCAGCTACTCGGTCTTTTCTACAAATGAGAATCCAGCCTGTTTTCCAGTGGCAGTTCTCAGAGTGATTTGCATTTCTTTTATTGTGGACTGGTCAGGGGGCACTCAGAACTGGAGAAACCTTTTACTTGAGCACAGCATAGCAAAACATACTAGCGTGAGAAGGAAGGTGAACATTCACCCATGCACCATTCTTTAACCATATAGGTAGTATTTCCCAATTTAAGATTGGTTCTGTGATAACATACCATTGTCTCATTTGTCCCATAAACTGAGAGGAACACTCTTAATATAGGGCAAGTACTAAGACTGGACGTGTGTAGAAATGAAGGGGTTAGAGTGGGTGAATGGAGTAGAGGAGAAATACATTGCTGTATACCTTTCAAGCTAGGAGGACATGAATAGAATATCTGAAGGCATCATCATTAATCAGACACAAAAAGTAAATCTTAGAAGGCAATGCTGCTTTCTAACTTTTTCTTTGATTTGGGGAAAATTCAGAGTTAGCTGGATTTAGTAGAAAGTTGATGTTCGTGTTTCTTTACTCTTATTCCATCATTCGTGTGGTGGATTAGAAAGCTTTGTCTTGATTAGTCTTATTTTTGCACCTTGCCCATTTGGGGGGGGGGGTCGGGGAGAAAGGAGGGGAAGGCTAACCTCAGTATTGCTGCGATGCTTGCAGCTTCAACTTGGAAGAGCAGATGACTTCTTACCAGTTTTGAAAACTTTCTTTTAAACTTAGGTGTTAGGAATCCCCCCTCCCCTTGCTCTGCATTCTAGGAATTCTCTCCGAGAGGTCAGAATTAATTGGCAGAAAGAGGTCACTAACATGTTTGAATGTTAAGTGTTTTTATTTAGCTTTGACTTAATGAACAGTGTGAGGGTTTCAGGCTATAATTCAATTCCACAAACTAAATGTAAAGCACTGTGTCTGTCTGGCTAAGAAAAAAAAAAAAGATTTATAGATATGATTTTTCAATTATGGATTATCTTCTGGGTAGAACAAGTAACTTTTCAGTTAACCCTTTCAGTTAACAGAACATGACTGGGAATTGAAAAGAGAAAATTCATCTCCTGTCCACTGAAGAGACATCTGTTTGCCCATACCTAGATTTCCAGCTCTCCTTTGGCTGTCTTGGCACAAAGTTCTTCATTCTTTCTCTTTAGAAAAATCACCCCTAGACTGGGGTATTCCCCACCAATTAGAAACAAATGCAAACCAGGCTTGAGCAAACAATCATTATAGTAAAAAAAAATTTAAGTTAGATTTGCTTGTATAAAGAAATCTCTTTAGTAATGTCTGTGGCCTTGCACCTCTTGTTTGAAGTTCATTATTAAAGCATTGCAAAAACGCATTCCATTTCTACATGATTTATATTAGTTTCACCTTAATTCAACTTACTGTTTTCCCTTCAACTGAGTACCTTACTCTGTGCTGCTTCCCAGAGTAGTGAAATAGACCAAGTTTTCTGCTGCATCCAAGAATTTTTTAAAAGTAGAACATAAAGTTTACTTTTTTAATTTATTTGTAATTTTTTATTATGAAAAATTTTAAACATATTAATTTATAGAGAGGCTAGTCCATCACCCATTTTTAACATTTGCCAACACATACATTTATTTTAGACCAATTGGTTTTCAGGTACTTTATTCTTATTTTTATTTTTGTTAACCCTCACCTGAGGATATTTTTCCATTGACTTATTTATTTATTTATTTAGATAGAGTGGAAGGGAAGAAGCGGAGAGAGAGAGAAACACTGATGTGAGAGACACATTGATTGCTTGCCTCCTGCCTGACCCCAGCCAGGGCCGGGGATCAAACCTGCAACCCTGGTATGTGCCCTTGACAGCTGGAAATTGAACTGGAGACGCTTTGGTATGACGGCCGACACTCTAACCACTGGCCTGGGCAGTATTTTAGATTTCTTGGGGTTATGCTTATTAGTGTATTGATCTTAATGAAATACTCTTTTTCTGGATTTTTAAAGGCCATTGAGTAATGTAATAATGCTTTTTATCTCAGTGAAGCAATAGCAAAGTCATTGGGAATAAAATAGGAATATAGACTGAAATTGAAATTGCATTAGAGTATGGAAAGAAATATTAAAGGGTTCCCCGCTCCCTGCCAAAAGAGTTATTACAGGTCTGAATTTATCTACCTCCAATTTGTTGGAGAAAAGTCTTCTAGTGCTGAAGACTCTCCCGGGAAGTGGTTTCTATAATGTAGTACAGCAGTATGGCGCCCCCTAACTTCAAGTATGATCATTGCTCTCAGGCTATCAAAAGATTTATCTGTTACTTCCTTTTGGAGAATTTAGACCATATCCAAGATAAATATTGGTTATAATTTGCTCCTTTAGCTTTGGCTGACTAGAAAATGGCTGTTTTCCAGGGAACGTGTAATTTATAGAACTGAATGTTCTTCTGCTCGAAGCCTCTCACTGTAGACTCACTAGTGAGTAGCTAATAGTAATAACTACCTTTTAATGAGCAGTTTGCTCTGTCTGGCACTGTACTAATAAGCACTTTACAAACACTGTCTGTCTGCCTTAGTCTTCAGAACCACAATCTTCAGCAAATTGAGTGATTAAATCATTTGCCAAAGGTCACAAAGTCAGTGGTAAGAAGCAGCTTATCATAAAAGTTAGGAGAAAACTCATAGACACAGACAACAGCATGGTGATTACCAGAGGGGAAGGGGCTGGGGTGAGAGAGAACAGGGTGTGGTGGGAGGGTAAATGGTGAGGGAAGGAGACTTGACTTAGGGTGGTGAACACACAATACAATTTACAGATGACGTTTTATCGAGTTGTATACCTGAAACCTGTGTAATTTTATTTTACTTATTTATTTTTTAATTAATTTATTTTTGTTTCAGATGTTTTTCCTTTTTCCCCTACTGACTCCCCCGCCCTCTCCCTCCCTGCCCTGTCCCCAGCTTTGTTGTCCATGTCCATTGTTCCTACACACTTGCATATAAGTTCTGTGGTTTCTGTCTCCCCCACCACTCCCTCTTCTGGGAATTGTCAGTCTGTACCCCACTTCCACGTCTCTAGGACTACCCCATTCCTCAGACTGTTATGTTCATTATATTCTACAAATAAGTGAGATCATGTGATATTTGTCTTTCTCTGTTTTGCTTGTTTTGCTTAGGATAATACTCTCTAGGTCTTTCCATGTCGTCTCAAAGGATAAGAGATCTTTCTTTCTTACAGCTGCATAGTACTCCGTTGTGTGTATGTACCAAAGCTTTTTTATCCATTCGTCCACTGATGGACATTTGGGCTGTTTCCAGATCTTAGCTATTGTAAATAGTGCTGCTATGGACATGGGGGTACATATATTCTTTCTGATTGGTGTTTCAGGCTTCTTAGAGTATATTCCTAGAAGTGGGATCACTGAATCAAATGGAAGTTCAATTTTTAATGTTTTGAGGTAACACCATATTGTTTCCATAGTGGTTGCACCTGTCTGCATTCCCACCAGCAGCGTACTAGAGTCCCCTTTTCTCCACACCCTCGCCAACACTTGTTGTTTGATGATTTGTTGATGGCGGCCATTCTGACAGGTGTGAGGTGATACCTCATTGTTGTTTTAATTTGCATCTCTCTGATGATTAGTGATGTGGAGCATTTCTTCATATGTCTCTTAGCCATTTGTATGTCCTGTTTGGAGAGGTGTCTATTTAGTTCCTCTGCCCATTTTTTAATTGGGTTCTTTGTCTTCCTTTTGTTGAGTTGTATGAGCACTCTATATATATTGGAAATTAACCCCTTATCTGATACATCATTGGCAATGATGTTCTCCCATACAGTGGGTTGCCTTTCCATTTTGATGATTGTTTCTTTTGCTGTGCAGAAGCTTTTTAGTTTGATGTAGTCCCATGTGTTCACTTTCTGCTTTGTTCCTGTAACCTGGGTAATTTTATTAACAAATGTTACCCCAATAAAGTCAATGAAAAATAAATAAAAGAGGCTTAGGCGGGAGGTTACTGACCTTGTACCTTAGGTAAGTTGCTCACTTTTCACCAAGTGTAAAATGAGGGATAATAATACCTTAAAGCTTTGCAGGGAGGGAGCATTAAATGAGATACCGTACATCAGATTCTTAGCAGAATTCTGAGCCTTCACAAGTGTTATAAGGCTGTAAGTGGAAGATGTGTGATTCTAACCCTG